ATAATAATAATAATAATAATATTATTATTATTATTATTATTATTATTATTATTTTTATTACTGTTACTCTTACTACTACTGCTATTACAATTATTATTACTATTGTTGTTTAATTAGTTAGTTAATGGACGAGTGTTTTCGCATCATGAATGGGCAGCCACAGCGCATTAAACTCCTCCGAGACGTACCACGTGATGGTTGGTTTCCTTACCTAAACATCCAAGTCAAGGCATCCTGTGGCGTTGTTAGTGTGAAGTGGAACCGTAAGACTAGTTCTGAGAATATCTTACTTCACGCTACATCAGCTCATGCACATGCCATTAAACGTGCAGTCATCAGCGACATGTTGAGAACAGCAACAAATCTGCCTCATTTGCATTTAACCGAGAGAAACTTTCGCCTTCTACTAAAGATTTCCATGCAAAGGTACAAATGCCTGCACGGATGAGTTTGAACGTCTCGAATCACGACATTTAGCTTGTGAGATAGCTGCTGTGAACGGTTACACGGTATCACGAGGTTTTAAAATATGTCGCCCTAATAGGCAGCGTGCTACGCCCCGAAATAAGTTGCCACTATGTCTTCCCTTCATCTCCGATAAAGTTAGCAATGTTGTTCAACGAAGCATTTTCAGAGCTGGTCTGCAAGATGTTGTACAGTTACTGAATATTTCAATAACAACATCAAGTAGCTGTTACTTCGAAACAGGCTCTGCGACATGCATAAGANAAGACTGCAACATATGTCCTCACGGGGAAACGGGTGATTGCGCACAGATAGGCGTGATCTACTGAATTGAAAGCCGGACATGGGGTCAACATGCATCGGAGAAACGGAAAGACAACTAGCTATCCGAATAAAAAGGCATATAGCTAGTATGAGGCGTGGAAGCCTAATGACGGCCATTGTAGGCATAAAATTGAGGAGCACAACGGCAACAACCTTGAGATTAAGTACACGATATTAGCGCAAGAAACGGAGATTTCAGCGAGAAAGACATTAAGGGCGTCCTGGATCATTCAAAGAAGTCCCAAAAAGAACGGTAGAGAACAGTGCCCGTCCATAATCAGCGATCTTTTGCCGTATATACCGCACTGCGACTTATGACTCGGCAGCATTATGACATGATCTTCCTTATCACGTGCATAAGGGAGACAGTACAAGAGGTCTCATTCGCTACTGACAGTTGCCTATGGCGACAGCGAATTTATATCCACTTGAGCGGTGGAACCCTGGTAAGTTAAGATTCGAGTAGTGGGTTTGGATTTGTCGTCACACTCGCCAAAGGGGTGATGCGCTTTTCGGATACTGCATAAATTATCTCGAGCTGCTTTAGGACTCTGAAGAAGACGATAGCGTTAGACCGTTGATTGATTATTAATAAATTGTTCCACCTACTCCCGTCGCACGGCAGAATGTTAGTAATAATAACAATAATAATAATAATAATAACAATAATGATAGTAATAATAATAATGGTAATAATAATAATTGTTGTTGTTATTATTATTTCTATTTCTATTACTATTATATATTAATTATATTACTGCTACTACTACTACTACTACTGCTACTATTGTACTTATCTTCTCTTGCGTGATTCTGGGAAGATTCACTTATCAATTACATCAATAAGGGAGAAGCGACTCGTGGAACACCTCCGCGGTAGTGATAGAAAAGCGAACAGTTTGTATGTAGTCCAAGAACGTTTCTCTTCGATGACTCTTGGGCTGATATGCCAGTGTTGAATCGCGCTGGCTACAGGCAATCATCGTCTGATGGACAAACTTGCGAAGCGATGCAGATGAGCGAGATTTGGAAGAGAAAAAAGCATATGTTTTGGTCGAAGCAGCCGAGACGAAGAATAGCATTCGCAAAGCCCGCCGAAGAATCACCAATCACAAGACCACCCATCCTCCCATCGTTGTCTTAATGAAAAGTTACTACTTTTTGGAGGGCAATGAGGAAGGTCGTCTTCACATTTACATGAATCTCTTCCACAGCCACGTCTACCTGCCTACCTACCGTCTTGGACAGGTCGGATGTGCCTTCTTTCAGTTCCCGCTTCGGGAATCCGACATGCCTTAACGTCGCTGTCGTCGTACGACGCCCGACCCAGACAGGATCAAACCACAACATCTAGTGAGCCTCCAAGAAACTATCGTAAGATTTGTGACTAGGTTCTTCATGCAGGCCTGCCGAATGTAACGTGCAGACGCCTAAGAAGAGAGATAGGGCGATATCGGCAACTGTTTCTCAATTCGCCTGCTGTCTCTAAACTATAAATTTTCTACTTGAGTTATTCTTAACAGGATTAGCAGAATATTTGATGAAGGACAACCATCAAAACAACCATGATTTTGGAGAGATTCATTACAATCGACTACATCCACAGCCGCAATACTCATTGAAGTATCGCGAGAGTGCAGGATGCCGTTATTTCTGTCTACCGTCATGGAACTGTTGAATACCTTAATTACTGTCGAGACAGAAGCGGTAATTCTAGTCTTGAGTACCATGGTGTTCCTGTTCAATATGTAGAGCTTCTTCGTGGCTCTACAACAACTTCGCGGCCAGGAGGTTCCTATTCCTCGAGAAAGTTTGTATCAACAGAACAGAGATCTCTCCAAGGCGACAACATCTCGTCCAGATTTTGTAGAACACCTGTATGATTTGGAATAGAAGACGTGGTAGTGAAGGTCAACTATCTCTGCTTTCCACGCGAGATCGTGCTCATAACACCGAGTACCGAGTAGGAAGAACGAATGCTGGTCGAATTGGAGAAAGCCATGGGAGTAAGTATAAAAAAAGTTTTTCTTAGTGGAGCAAATCGCGCGAAATTTCGATATGTTCAACTGAGGCATATTTCACACTATCTAATACTATTTGGCTGCAAAGCAGCAATATCCACATAATTAAGAACAAGGTGTTTATGTGGCAGCAGAGTTCGCTGGAAGCAAATATAGTGACGTTGGCATCTCATGTGCGTTTTTCTCGTCTACTGTGTTCGGCATCAGCGCTCGCACACTTTGGACAACGCCAGAAGGAAAGAAGTCCCGGAAGGACCAATGTCTCTATTCTATGTCTTTCCAGTTGATTTTGAGTTCAACAGTTGATTCTTTAGGACATCTGGGACATGATCATATTGCAGGTTAATAGTGATAAAAATTCACAATACGCCCGTGCTACTCATCGAAATCTCGCATGATTAGACTCAGGAGGGAAGGAGTAACGACTGAAAAGTGCGACTGAAGAAGCATTTAGCAGGAGACTTTTGAGCGCTCTTGTAGGTCGAGAAGTCAGCATGATGAACGGCCTAGCTCCGGAGTTGAGCAGAAGGAAACACGCACCGTTGAAAAGCATTTAAGTACATTAGGAAGCAGCGAAGAAGAATTGGAACGTCTGTTCCTGACCTGCTGTTCTTCCTGCTATCGCATTGGAAACTTCGGAAAGTTGATATCTACGGAAACAGGATGAACATGCTGTCAGTGTAATTGAACGTTTTCTAGAAAAATCGACGCTATAAATTTCCCTATACAGGTAAGTGTAAAAAGGAGTCCGTAATAACCAACCGAGATCAGGTGGACCGGACATTTCGTACTAAGGTGACCGTTGGACTAGGGCGGCTACAGCCTGGATCACACGGGGTGTCATACAAACTCCAGGACGGCAGCCAGTGCCATGGTCAGACTTCCTCATGATTGCGCCCAATGAATGGAATGCTATGCCTTGTGTCCTTTGAGCGAGGGCGATCCACTAGATCACCCTGGCTCGTGACAAGGACAAATGGAGACGTAACTGGCGTCGGCTCGAAGGAGTGGATGTCCGACGGGATGGCAGGTGATGCAGGTAATCACAAGGCAAAGAATGTGTTATTCAACATACCTATGCTGCGTTCATCGATGAATTCACATGCTTACATTAAGAAGGCAGAAGAGTTATGAAAGTGCTATCAGCATACTTTTTAGTGTCGGATGTCTGATCATTAATTAGAAGCCTCATTGTTCGGAATTGCTCATTATCGCTCAATCAGGATATGCTGCGCAACGACATTGACTATAAAGAGTAAGTATTGCCTCTATTCCGGTTTACTCTACTATTTACTCGAATTCCGTATTTTAGTAGCCCACAGCTGAGTCGAGCAAATGTCGGAGTGTCACAAATCAGCGTTCCACTAGCATGGAACGGAGATCAACACTTCAAAAGCAAAGGGGGTGAGTTCTGTCGTTAATCCTATCAAGCCTCTAGCAAACGTGTCGCATAATGATCGATTCGCAACAACATATCATCACCATATCCGTGATTTAATTACGAACTGCCGGAGTTAGATTTTTTCGATGTGAGACTGAGAGGCCGTAAAGGCCGCAAGACTATTCTCGAATCAGTGGAGGCTATACTAGGTAAGGCGAAGCGTTCACCATGTGTCTCAACGAGTTACTAGGCGTAGCTGGGAAATATAAATAATGGAGTCCTAGCACCACAGAAAAGGCATTTCCCTTCTCTCGTAATCGTATGGACACATGAATGCATTCAGAAAATTAACTGTAATTCGATCTAGAAACGACTCATGCACAAGTGACTCCTATCATTCAAGACCCGGCAGTACCTGTATGATAACTGACCAGTTTGACTATGCACGCTAACGCGCAGTATATGTCGACGGCCACTTATCCTCGGTGGATTATTCAGCGGAATGTTGGATAATCAGAATAAAATAGTTCTCTCTAGATTCGAACGCTGAACTGCTGAGAGCATCGCGCTCGATATATTTGAGCAAAGTTATTAGTGGTTGATCATAGCTCCGTCCACCCTAGTGCAAACCCTTCCCACGGTAAACTTGACCACCCTTCTTTTGACTGCTCCAAACCATTTTTTCCGCATTCCAGAAAGTTTTTGAAGAGATGAATTTTTGGTCCTAGCCCCGCTTCCATGTGTCAGCTCCGCCCCCTTCGAAGACTTAACTACATTTGTTCCAATTCCTCTTACCACTTTTTTCCCGCATCCCAGAACGTTCCTGAATAGAATTATGAATTTTTGACCCAAGCCCCGCCCACTTCCTGGATTTGACCACCTTTGTTCTCAGTTTTATTCTTTTACACCTTGACACCTTTTTGCCGCATCCCAGAACGTTTCTGAATAGAGTTATGAATTTTTGATCTAAGCCCCGCCTAATTTGGTGCCAGCCCC